CACCACTTTACATAATATTATACTTTTAGCACACATTTAATTAAATAATTAAAAGTCAAATGAAAAATTATTAATTTGGTTTGGATAAAATTAACATGGCCCAAAAGGCTCCACGTGCGATACTTGCTATTGTTTTGCCAATACAATAATATTAAAAGATTATTATTATTATTATTATTATTATTATTATTGGATAGGCATTAATAATTAAGGCAGAAGTTTGGAGTGCCCACTTAAAATTCCAACCACGCATTTAACAAGTAGACGTTTCTCACGTGTACCAATCTTGGTATCAAATTTAAAGCCCTCTTTATTTTACTCACTTCCTTCCACTAGGAATTTTTTTACAACTTTGAAATGAATTTAAAATAATAAAAAGAAATAAGCCCTCCGTTCACAAATTAATATTTTATTTTTTTATTTGGGACGTTTAACAATTATTGTCATTTTTTTTTAAAACACAAATTTTAAATTTTTACCATTCATTCATTTATTACTTTTAATCTCTATACCATACAATTAAAGGCAAATTTGTCAATTCATAACAAAAAGACAATCACCTAAAAAACTGTGCAAATATACTTTAGGACAATAGAAATTGAACGGAAAAAGTAATATTTTATAATTTATAATTCTTTATTTTAATTATATCGTATTTATTTTTACTAATCCAATTTATAATTACTTAGTAATTGCATAAGACTTAAAACTATGTGCCCCAGCTAAAGTAGACAAATTATCTAGGACGAAATGAGTAATAAGTTATATAATAAATTATGATATTATTTTATTATTTTTATTAGATATCTTATTACTTTTTTCTATATGAATGATATTGGTAGATATTTATAAAATAAAAATTAATAAACAAATAATTACAAAAAAATAAAATGCGTACTTAAATTTTTTAAACATCATATTTCTATAATATATTATAATGTATATTATTACGTAGTGAATAAAATTTTATATAATACAATAATTAAATAAAAACAATTTTTTATTTATTTATATTTAACATAAAGTAATTTTATTTAAAAAAAATTAAAGTTGTGTTCTTTTGTGAGTTTTACCGCATGTTTTTACTATTCATATTTTTTTTCCCTCCAAAAATACCACATCAAATAATTATTTTAATTTTTTTACATTATACTACAAATTTATTATACATTCAAAACATCACATCAACCTCTATTTATATAAAATCAAACAACTATTCAAATTCAACTTATTACTATTTAAAAATCTAAATTAAAAAACTAAAACCCACAAATAAACACACCCTAAGAATTTTAAATATAGATAAAAATATTTGTTTATTAAAAATATATAAAAATAAGAAAGTTTAATTAAATTTATTAAATATATTTAATATTGATACATTTATTAAAAATAAAAGTATATCAATTCTTATAAGACATGAAAACATATGTACAAAATTATGAAGGCTTATGTAACATTCTTATAAGGATGGCATGGGGAGCGAACTTGTGGCCGTAAAGTTATGGGTTCGAACCCCGACGCTTTCAGGTCCACCTGCCACACATGGTTAGTTGTTTAATATTCCTTCGTTTACTTTTTGTGTATCGTCTTATAATACTAATATAATGACATTTTTATACAAAAATACTATATAAATATAAAAATATTTTTAATATTAAGTACAATAATGCAAATAGTAAATAGATATCTTGTTATAAGACGAATAAAGTATTATATTTTATAGAAATATATATATATATATATAGACTATAGAAATTGTATTATAAAAAAATTAAAAAATTTATGAAAACTTCATAATTTAAAATATATATATATATATATAGAGAGAGAAAAAATGCCCCTTAGTACTAATAATTATAAAGAACTTTAAAATTTTATGAAAACTTTATAATTTTGAAAAAATAGAAAAGAATGTCCCTTAGTAGTAATAATTAAATGTCACTTTGAATAGATTCTGTGAGGCCAACCCTAGTATTGCCATACAATACTATTCAGAATCGCATACCCAATTATCAAATCAATTATTTAATCTGAATATATGTATATATTTCCGATTATTAAATTAAATAAAATAATTGATGATGATAAGGATAACTTGAGAACACCTAACATATAAATTATATTAGCTCCTTGCAACCTAATTATGCCACATTATTCGGATCTAAAAATAAATAAAAAATATATTACATTTATTTTTTGCGTCATTATACTTAATATTAAAAATATTCTTATATTTATATAATTTTTTATACAAATATATTTCTATTTGTATTATAAAACACTAATAAAAGTAATTTTGTAATTTTTTTTTAATTTGTACTATATTTTTATATAATAATTAATATTCAAATATCAATACACAAGAAATAAATCAGACTTTTGGAGCAGGACGGAGATAGTATTATTTTAATATAAAAATATTTTAGATAAAAAATAAAGTACGAATATTAGACAAAATTTATTTGTGAATAGATAATAAAACAGATAGGTAAATAAAAAAAATAGTGATAAATTAATTATTACTCCATTCGTTCCAATACAATAGTTTTGTTTACCATTTTTGTCCGTCTCAAAACAATAGTCTTATTTCCATAGATAACCATATTACTATAAAAGTATCTCTATTTTTTTCATTTTTATTACACAATTGTGAATACTTTTTTACATTAATATACTTACAATGGCAAAAAAAAATATTTTATTCATATTTTTTACCAACTACCAATATAATATCAATATTTTTTAAATCTCGTACACAATTCAATTAAAACTATATTTATGAAACGGATGAAGTATTTATTAAAATATATATATATATAATTTATATATATTTAGTGGACAACAAAAGTAAAAAATAAAATTCATATAATTATCCCAAATGAAAAGAGAAATAATATGTAAATTGTGGTGGACCGAATTGAAAGAGAGAGGGAGAGTAGAGTAGAGGAGAATGAATCAGTTCCAAGAATCTCTTATTATTAATTCCCATTTTAAATTAAATTTTGCAACATACACTCCACAAAATCGGCCCGGCCCGCCCAAACCCAGACCTAGAATTATATTCTATTTTTAATTCAAAGTATTATTTTTTTTAATATTTTTGTCTGTAATATATATATTTTTTAAAATATTATTATTTTAAAATTTACTATAAAGGATCAAAAAGACTATTTTTTATTTTAGAATATCAATAAAATATTATTATTTTTAAATTTATTAAAAAATATCAAAAGACTAATCTTAATTAGAACGAATAAAGTATATTTTGCCCATATCAACTAAAAAGTGTAGTAATTTTATTTTTTTAAAAAAGAAAGAGATAATATATTCATGAGTAAGTTTGCTTAGGATGTAAAAAATTTAGAATATATGTAGATTTTAATAGGATAAAAATAAATTGTAGGATAATATTTTAATAAATAGAGGAAAAAGTGAAATAAATTGACAGTAAGATGGAAATTAAGTTGTATACAGATTGAATTGAATGGATACAAATATTATAGTATTCGATTCAAATTAGTTTTTAAATTATTTAATTTTTGAAATATTATTTGAAAAATACTCCCTCCGTCATAATACAATAAATTTGTTTATTATTTTTGTTCATCTCAAAATAATCTTATTTTCATAAATAACTATATCATTATATAATCATCCTTACTCTTTTATTATTATTACACAATTGACCGGTCAAAAAATAATTAATTAAACTATTTGATAAATAAGTTTTTTCAAATGAAAAAATTAATTTTAGAAAAAACTAATAAACATTAGCGTTTTATATTAGCATTTGTAGTATAATTTTTTATTTTGCCTTTTATTTTGTATTACTTTAGTAATAATTTTAATTTATCTATTTTTATTTAAATTATAATTATATTTCTACTAATTAATTGAAATTATTAATCATTCTATATAAAAATTATTTTATTTTAAAACATAAAAATTTATTAAATCTCATGAGAAAAATAGTAGTATATAAATACTATTAATCTATATATATATATATATTTATTTATCACAAAAAATCTAAATTAAAAATGAATAAAATATAATATAATTATTTTGTATTTATTATTATTTGACGTTATTTTTACCTTTTAACTTTTATATAAAATATTTTGTATTTTGCATGAATACATTACTTTTGGAAAGCAATTCAAAAATGATTTGGGAAAATAAAACGATTATATACTCCTATTTATATAAAATAAAAAAGTAATATTATAAATATATTTAGTTAGATTTTTTAATTAGAAAAAATGCTTAAAATTTTGAATATAAAAATTAAAAAAGAATATATTATATATATTAAAATAATAAACGTATTTAATTAGTAGAGTAGAATACGTATAGAAAAATATACTAAATCCATTTGTGTAAACGGATAAAAAAATAATGAGTATAAATTTAATGAAAAATTATTTTTTACTAAATAAAATACATAATATTTTTAATAGACTGATTACAATAATAAACTAAAAATATTTTTACAAGACATAAAAATATATATGTATACGGCATATTTTTTATTATTCAATTCGTGGTGGGTTTATTTTGTAAAATATTTAAACAAAAAAATTTATATTTAAAATATAAAAAAAATGTAATTAAAATATTATTTAAAAAAAAAAAAAAAAAACTTGTTGATAAAAAACACACCATCAATATTTACTTACGAATATAAAATCGAATGCTAAACCTTTATATTTATATTTGATTCCTATTTAAATTCGAATACGAAATATATTTTGAAAAAAAATTAGTTGATTCATTTAAAAATCTAACAGAAAGAGTATTAATGAGTCAAATTGAATTAAAAAAATAAATGGTAAGAATAAAAATGAGGTCAACGGTAAAAATCGAAACTTTGGAAAGGAAAATTAATGCGGGGGGCAAAATATAGAGTAAGAAAAAGAAAGAGGGCTTAAAAGGTAAAAGGAAAGTGCGGAGAGAGAAAGTCCGTCTTCCTTCTTTGGCAGAAAAAAAGGAATCGAAAGGACAGACAGATAGAGAAAGAGAGAGAAAGAGGATCTTGCAATGGCGGCCACAAACAATTTTTGTGGCTGAGAATTCATGTTTCCTTTCCGACGTGGACTCTAAAGACCACAGTACGTCGTCTCAATTACGTCAGTCATCCCCAAAAGCCCTAAACCTAATTTATTCATCCCTGTCAGTCTGTCTGTTCATGCTGCCCTGCTGCTTTTACATCATTTCTTTTATGCCTTTTTTGGAGTTCTGCTGCGTTTTCAAGCCAGGTTTGGATAAAAAGGGCGAGTGAGTGAGTAGGGAAGAAGCACCAGCACAATTATTTCCTAAGATAAAAAACACAGAAGGGGCCAAAAATGTCGGACCCCAAAATCAAGCTTTTTGGGAAAACCATTGGAGGAGGAGGACGAGGAGGAGATGGCTTCTGTGAGGATCCTCCCTGTTCTTCTCATTCCACCAATTTTAATGGATGCGCCGCCGATTGCAAGGAATCACAGAAGGTAAAAAAAACCCTAATTCGATTTAGGGATTTGGGAATTTCGTAGATGTTCTTGAGCTGCTCTGTTGTTTGTGCAATATTTTTAAGAATTTTGCTGTTTAGGCTGTAGATTCTGTCTTAATTCCTCTTCAATCCGTCTCTGGACAGAGTGTGTCTGGAACGAAGCACACCGACGACGACGATCCGTCGGAGCCTCTGACATCGGAGGAATTCAAAGGCTCCGATTCGTCGCCGACGGCGGTTGCAGACTCTACCGCGCCGCCGCCGGAAGAACAGAGTGAGACAAGCACCTCGTCGGAGAAGACGCTGAAGAAGCCGGAGAAGATACTTCCATGCCCTCGCTGCAACAGCATGGACACCAAATTCTGTTACTTCAACAACTACAACGTGAATCAGCCGCGCCATTTCTGCCGGAATTGCCAGAGATACTGGACCGCCGGCGGCACCATGAGAAACGTCCCCGTCGGCGCCGGCCGCCGTAAAAACAAGGCCTCCGTTTCCCAATTGCGGGGCCTAACCGTCCCCGAACCCCACATCGATATGCCGGCGCCGGCGACGGCGCTGAATCCCGGCGGGACCACCGTGCTCTCATTCAACTCCGATTCTCCCCTCAGCGAATCCATGGCGTCCGTCCTGAACAGCATCGACAAATCGATTCGAAGCACTACAAGAAACGGAATCAACAATCCTGAAGAACTCAGATCGAAAGAGCCTGAAAATGTCGCCGGCAGCATCAATGATGACGATACCGGCAAGGCGGCGAATCCTCAGCCATTTCCGCCTCCACCACCCAATTTCCCGGCGGCCCCCTTTCCTTACCGGTGGAATCCAATCCAATGGAACTCCCCTGTTCCGGTCCCGCCCGGTTTCCCGATGCCGTTTTATTCGACTCCACCGCCGTATTGGGGCTGCGCCGCCGTGCCGACAGCCTGGAATGTCCCATTGATTATATCGAATCCAAATTCTCCGACATTAGGAAAGCATTCAAGGGATGACAACAATGCGAATTTTGCGAATTCGAAGGAGGAAGTTGATCCAAAAGAGTCGAATGCCGAGAAATCTCTATGGGTTCCGAAAACGTTAAGAATCGACGATCCGGAGGAAGCTGCGAAGAGTTCGATATGGGCGACATTGGGCATAAACAAGGACAACGTCGAATCTCCGGGGCTTTTCAAGGCATTCGAAACTGCTCGATCGAAGAGCGACGAAAAGGCGCGGCCGGCGCCGGAGAATTCGAGCGTATTGCAAGCGAATCCGGCGGCGCTGTCGAGGTCGGTGAGCTTCCATGAGAGCTCGTGAGAGGTAAGGTCGTCGTTGTTGTCGATTGGGAAATTGGAGTTGTGCATTGGTAGGAGTATGGTTTTATTGATGATGATGATGATATATATATATATATATATATATAGGTTTTGTACATCAGTGAGTGAGATTTGGGGTTGGTTGGGTAGTTGGAATAAATGGAAACAGTTGATGAGGGTTTCTAATTGAAAACCATAAGTAAAATTTATATATGTTTCTAGGGAAGAACATTACAATTAATCATATTGTTTTTGTTCTTGTTCTTGTTATGTTTCTGCCTGGTTAATAACGACTTATCTAAATCGCGGCACCGATTACAGATTTCATATCTCTAAATTTTTTTAAATAAATTAAGAGAATACATCAGACGGACTCAGTCTAATATCAATTCTAAAGCTTAATACTGCATTTCGTCAGATCGAGGGCCACTCCTCGGCCTCGGACCCAGGCAAGGGGGACTTAAGCCCCCTTGACCCTCAACTCATTGACCGGGCAGCGAGACTCCGTGAAAACTCAATGAAATAACAAACTAAATTTAAGACATATCAACAAAGAGTATTAATTATCTGGGGAGGGTTACAGTGTTGATTTTTCAAATCAGCATATATATAATACATAAACAATGCATGCATGTTCAAATCAATTGTTATATATGCTGTGAAACTATATAATATGTTATTAGTTTATATGTTGTATTTGTATTACATTAACATATATTATCTAATGTCTGTTGTAATACCATATATTGTCCATTACCATACGATGTATTAGCATAGCCGCCGCCTAATTGTTTATTATATGAATATTAAGAGTTTAAGTAAGAAAAAAGATTAATGTAAATTATTGAATTCATTCTAACAATCAATAATAATGGGAGCAGAATATCAAATTATAATAATAATGTGGATGGATGATATAATAAATACTACCCACATAATGTATCTGCTACAATTTAGACACGGTATTTTAGGTGGGATGTAATTAGTAGATAATTGAGAATGTATTAGTGAAAATAATTATCATATAATATAAATATTATAAATTAATATTAATATAATTAATTAGTTTAATTAAAAATTTTAAAAAAATAAAATTAAAAAGTTTAAAATGACATTAAAGTGTATAATCATTTTTTTTTAAAAAAAAGTGACATGAGGACAGAAACGGCAACACGTAGAGATGGTGCGTGGGAACGAGGGAGTAACAATGTTAGAAGTTTAACTAACAATGTCCTCATATGTATTCTCAACTGCATGGTGACATTGCAAGCAAATACATTAAAATCATTAACAATTAACAAATGAGATTAAAAAAAAAAAACATAAAAATATTTTATTTTCACACTCTATGATAATTTAATATCCATGAGGTCATGAGTTCCAACCATGACGCCTCATATTACCTGTCACACACGGTTCATCTAGTGTGACTTATCGGTCGGGCTTAGTTTGCAGGCATTAAATTCGACCGGAGGTTTACCAGTGCGCACTTTCAGATAGCGGCTGCAATTTCGCACCCACTAGATTTAATACATTTAAATGATTAATCTAAACTAATACATTCCTTCTCCTGTAAAAAATAAATATTTAAAACTAATTTTACTAATTTTATTTTTTTCTAATGTGGATAAAAAAATTCCTTAAAAAATTGTTTGCAAGTGAAAGATTGTTGTAGACATTGATTTTTTGAGACTTTTAGAATTTTAGAATTTTAAACATAGTAAAATTAATGTTTGATGTTATACTTCATTTGTTAAATTTTAAAATATGTTTTTGTGTTTTATAATAAATTATAAAATAATATTATTTTATTGATTAATAAAAATATGTAATAAATTTTAATATACTTTTTTATTTTTTAATATAAATTAATTGTATTTGTAATATTATATTTGTAAAACCATTTCTATTTTGTAAGGTGAATTACTTTAATCAACTCTAAAAATTGCAGTTGTCACCATCTGATATGAGAGAGGGTAAAGTCCGTCTGGTTGAGCGGATCCTCTAAAAAAAAGTGTTTTTTTTTAATTATTATTATTTTATATTTTAATTTTTTAAATATTTTTAATTTAAATATATATTGTATTTGTGTCTTGTTTATTTTATTTTTTTGTCAATATCTTTTTTATTATATATATATATATTATATTTTGATTTTATAATTAATATTTATATTAAATATTTGACATTATTGTAAATTTAAAAAATTTATATAATACTCTCACCGTCTTTAAAGGTCACATTTACTTTTTTGCGTCGTTGTATTTGACATTAAAAATATTCTTATATTTATGTATATATATATACACATGTGCAAATGTCCTTCTATTAGTATTATAAGACACTAATTGAAATTTTTATTTTATTTTTTTAATTTAAACTATATTTTGATATAATAATTAATATTAAAATATTAACAAATAAAAAGTAAATGAGATCCTTAGAGTCGGATGTAAATAATAATATATAAAATCAAATCTATATAATTATACAAAAATAGAGTTATGAGTTAAAAATAATTTAATTTAGATAAAAACTTAAAATATTTACATATTAATATATAATAATTATTATTAAATATATATATATATATATATAATACTTATTATTTTTGAATGGATGACAAAAATAATTTGATATACAAGTAATTTTTAACAATTGAACAGTGTTAAATTTAAAAGTTTGTATCTTTCCATGATAGTGGCAGTGAAAGTGACAGTCAATTGGAATAAGTTATGGAGTGGATTCTGAATAAAATGTTCATTATTACATCAATCAATCAATCCCATTCCCAAATGATCAACCAAATTAGCAAAGCCAGCCCAAATTAGATCCCAAATGCAAATTTATATATATATATATATATATATTACCTCCATCCTCCCAAAGATAGACACGGTATTTTAGGTAGTTTAAGTTATTAAGTTATTAATAATAAGTTATGATAATATTTTATTATTTTTTATATCTGTAATATTGTTGGTATTTTAAATATTTTTAGAATTATATCTCAATAAAATATATACAATATAAATATCTATTATTTTGTAGACAATAAAACTTTATATAATACAAATGAATAAAAAAATTTATTTATTTATCATTAATATAAATTAGTTTTATAACAAAAATGAGGAGTTTCAAAGATAAGATAAAAATATTTGTTAATTGAAGAAAGATACAGAAATAAAAAGGGTTTTGAGTGGATTCTATTGTGTTAAAAGTTTAATTAAATTGATTTTATATTTGTTAAATATGTTTAAAATTGATAAATTTACCAAAAATAAAAATAGATTATCTTTTATGTAAAGAAAGTGAGATCATCTTTGGCGGGACGGAAAAAATATATATTTAGGGTGTGTTTGTTTGGGGGATTGAATTAGATTTCCACTATTTATCCCATTTTTCCCCTAAAAAACATCAAATCAAACACCTATTTTTTATTTTTTATATTATACTAAAAATAAATTTTACATTCAAAACATCACATCAACACCTATTTATATCACATCATACAACTATTCAAATTCAAAATTTTTACTATTCAAATCTCAACTTAAAATCCAAACCCCCAAACAAACACACCCTTAGTCTTCAACAAGAACAATGAAGGTGCAGCAATATCAAGGTCAACTATCAGTACTGTAATATATATATACTCCAAGATGCAGCTCTTCTTTTGAGATCAATGGATCTATCTTTTAATCTCTTCCTATGAAATGTCACTCTACACTTTCTGCTTCCTTTTCACAATTTTCTTAATATTCTATCCTTGAGAGTTTTAATAAAAATAAATAATAATAATTATTTATTTTTTATAGTAAAACAATGTAAAAATATAATAATTTTTTACTTAAAAATAAAATGAGAATATTTTTCAATAACAACAAAAAAAAAGTAAGGATAGATTTGAATGACATAAAATAAATCTATTATCAATTTTCTTTTTTTGGTTGTCATCCAAATTTATTCCCGTTTTTTTTAGTAAAAAAATACTATTTTTCTTTTTAAAAAAGTAAAATTTTTTATTGTTACATATTTTTTTTTAAAATTCGTGCCCGATCCAATGAGCACACGATTGAACGAGGCAGGAAGTATGTATAAATGAGGAAGGAATACTTCAATTATCAAATATCAATGAAGAAGTTGAAGATGGGGGACCGACGATCAGCTTGCTCTCTAATGGCATTGGCACCTCCACTTATTATTTTCCTTCTACTCACTCTAACTGCAGAAGGTAATACATACATACATACATACATACATACATACATACATACATATATATATATTATATGCAATTAATTAGCAATGAACAAACGAAACCCTAGATGCTTTTCATGGTCAGGTTTATGCATGGGAAGAGCTACAAGGAAGCTAATGGTGGGTGCCGATGGACCTCCAGGCCATGGAGCCGCTGCCAATAATGCAGACCAAGACCAGGAGCTGGAGCTGGAGCAGGTGGAGCTCGATTATTTGAATCCAGGGGCAAATGTTAATACCAAATCTGGTTATTATTATCTTCTTCCACCTGCTGCTCCTCCTCCCCTTCCTCTGTCTTAGAGAGTGAAATAAGAGAGAGAGAGACACATCGTCGTCTTTATTCAGATATTTTATTATTTCCGTTTCCCAATTTTCATTGCAGAGCCAAACAATGTCTTATGATTCTCATTCCTCCCTCCTAATGTTATTTTATACTCTTTCTGTCTCCGTCCATTAATCTTTTTTTTTTTTTTTTTCTTTTTACTAATTTTATTATTATTTTAATTATTAACTAAATTTTTTAAAATATTGTTCAACTATTTTTTTATTTTGTAATTTTTAATAAAATATTTATTTATTTTTTACTTTCTGAATCGGATCCAAAAAGAATTATTTTTACAGTTTGGGCTGCAAACTTGTATTGGGCTTATAATTTTGGGCCTTATTTAAAAGCCCAATACAGTTGCAATAATATTCAATCAATTGTTCAAAAACATAAATGTAAATTTGAATATTATACTAATAAAGATTATGAGAAAAAACAATAATAATTAATTGGTATTAAATAATACACAAAGTATAAAACAGATAATAAAAAAAAAATGCATTAATATAATATAAAATATATAACTTATTAGCTAGAAACAGGTAATGATTGTTCATACCAAACATGTTATTATTGAACTCTTTACTTGAGATAAATAACAACAACATATATTAACTTACAATATCTATTACTTCCACCGTCCTCGTACCGTGTCTGCTACACTGTAGTTATGGTATTTTAGGAGGGGTATAATTAGTAGATAATTAAGAATATATTAGTGAAAGTAATTATCATATAATATAAATAATTATAAATTAAGATTAAGACTAATTAGTTTAATTAAAATTAAAAAAAAATAAAAATTAGATTAAAATGTGTAATCATTTTCCAAAAAACGAAAGTGACATGGTATGTGGGACAGACAGAAACGTCAACGTAGACATGGTACATGGGACGGAGGGAGTATTTTAACTGAAAGCACATATATATATATATTATTTATATGTGTTAATTAATCATAATCAATATTTTAACAATTTGAAAGATTTTTATCTTATGTTTACTTTCAACTTTTATCACCATTGTTACGTACAAAAATTGTCGTTTACTTTTTACACGTAGATTGTTAAATATTAGTATTATATTAAATTGTAATAAAAATAAAAAAAAATATCCTTATTAGTACTGTGTAATATAAAAATAATGACATTTGTATTTTATTATGTTAGGTAGATAGTAAAATTACTAAATTAAAAAATTATAATATTGTTTTGGGACAGAATGAGTATTAAAAAAATTATATCTTAATAATATATTCACATTCATTAATAACTAACTATAGAAATCCAGCAAATTCGTACATTTGTGATTTTAAATCAAAAATAATATTATTCAGACCATACAATTTTTAATAAAAAAAATATAGTATTTTATTTTCATCAAATATCATATTAAAATATTCTCTTCGTCCCAATACAATAGTCATGTTTATCATTTTTGTTCGTCTCAAAACAATAGTCTCATTTTTATAAAAAAACCATATCACCATAAAACTATCCATACCTTTTCATTATTATTACACAATTGTCACTATTTTTTACACTAATATATTCACAAAAGCAAAAAAGTTGTTTATCTTTACTTTTAACCAACTACCAATATAATATCAATATTTCTTAAATTTAGTGCCCAACACAATAAGAGTATACTTTTGAGACGGAAGGAGTATTATTTTAACAAAATTTTAAATCGAGCACGTCATTTCAAGCAGACCCGAAGCAAAATTAAAATAGTGGGGCTTAAATATATTTTTTATTAAAAATAATTATAAAAAATCATTAAAGTTATATTTAATAATAAATTTAATATTTTTATATTAAAATATTACTATAATACAAAGAATGTGTTTGTTAATATTCTTAGTTTGAAATATTTTTTATGCTCAATAGGAGAACACATGTCGTTAATATAGTGAATTGAATTATTGATTTTTTTTCGGTTTATAGATATATTATAAATATTGTGTAAGCATAATATATTTATGTATTATATTTTATGATAATATTAATCCTCAAGTGTATAAAAAAATATCGTGTGAAAGAATATGAATAGCTTGTTTGTGTTTTGTGATATATTTGTGTATTTTGAAAATAATAAAAAATTTAAACTATAAAAAAATTACTTAATGTGAGTCAACAGTAAAAATATAGATTAGATAGCAAAAATCTAAAGAATATATGTTTGCTTAATATTTATAAAATACACAATAAAATAAAAGTAACAAAAATATATGTAAAAATATTATTCTATTTCAAATTTCACTATAGAAACAACAAAAATTATAAATACTGTAAATACATCAAAAATAAAAATAAAAATACAAATAAACACATAATTAATAAAATTAATTGTAAACCAATTCAATATCAAAATAATTTATTTTAATTTAATGTATATATATATTATTGGGCCACTTGGGCTCACTTTTAAAAATAGACCTGATCATAGAATTTTTTACTATCGAAACTTTTGCATAGAAATTCAGCTCTTTTACCAAGAAGTCCAACTTTTTACACTAATAAGTATTCAAAACAAGTATTAATGGTAAGAGAGTTGTTTGCTTTTCATAAGGTGCAATGCAATTAATTAATTAATATTATTCAAATCAAAAGGTTCAGGCGGCTATCCAAACCCCTTTGAATTCAATTCTCGAAACAAAAATTAGTAAATAAATAAAATATATATATTATATGGAATTCCACGATGGACTTTTGATCTTTCCAAGTTCCAATATCACCACTTCCACGAAATTTCATTTTCTCATACACCAAACAAAAACATTCTCTAATTCCACACACACACACACACACACACACGTATAATTATAATTCTCACTCCGTGCTATTGAAAGGTTGCTATTTTTCATTTTCGTCCGTCCCAAATCAGGTTACTATTTTCTAATTTAGCAATTGTACTACTTACCTAACATAATAAATATCCTTGTAACTTACAATATATTATATAAATATCATTAGTTTTATATTATATTATATTAATAGGGATAATTTTATTTTATTTATTTTTTTTTACTATAATCCAATATAATATTAATATTTAAAAATTACGTGAAAAAGCAAACGCCACTCTTTCACCTGGACAGAGGGAGTATTCATCCAATTGTGTACTCATTGACCAGGCATGAGTTTTAAGAAAAATATACAAGAATGAAAATTTTTATTTCTTTTGGTAAAGAAAAATGATATTTTTTTACTAAAAAAAAAATAGGAATAAATTTGAATAACAATATAAAAAAAAAAGAGTGAAAATAGATTTGAACGACGTGGATGGAGTTTAATATTTATAGTCCAAGAAAATGAAAATGTCATATGTGTAAGAAGAAACAGACAAGAAAATGAGGGTTGTTTGTTTACCAAATTTCCTAAGCAGAAATTTCCATGGACTTTCCATTAGACCTTTTCTCTTCATCTTCTTTGATTTATCACATCACATCACAACCTGCACCTTCCTCGAACACATCCATGTCAATTCATTAATCAATTCTTCCTGGAAAAATATATCTCTAATTCTCTCTCTCTCTATATATATATACAAATCCCGCACAATCAATTCAAATTACTACACAGGTTTTAATTAATTAATTATTTAATTAATTCGATCTGATATACCTAATTTTCTACCATTGATCAGCCATGGCTTCTTCTCTGATCAGCAGCAGCAGCAGCAGTTTCTATCAATTCCCAGTTATCATCCATGGCGGCAGCACCCTAACCCTAAATCTGAACACTTTTATTCACCTCGCAGTTCTGATTGTCGGATTGATTTTTTCATGGAAGAACACGAAATCCAGCAGCTTCTTCTTCTTTCTGTCCAGGGAATTCCAGAGATTTGCCAATTTTGAGCCATCTGTGAAAGTAGAGAAGAAGAAGAGATCGTCGTCGTCGTCGTCGTCGACGTTGTCCGCCGATAATCATCAATTGAGCGCGGCGTGCAAGAGCGGCGACATGGAAATAGTGCTGAAAAGCTTGGGGATGGTCTCCAATGGCGGAGAGGGATTTTGCAGCAGGATGGATGCAGATGACCTCTTTGCCATGTTCGAGGAGAGGAATCCATCTCTGGAGGAAGTGAAGGCAGCGTTCGAGGTTTTCGATGGAAATCGTGACGGATTCATCGATGCAGAAGATCTCCAGAAAGTTCTGTGCAGTTTGGGGTTGAAGGAAGGGTCGGAAATGGAGAATTGCAGAAGAATGATTAGGGTTTTCGATGAAGACGAAGATGGAAAATTGGATTTCCAAAACTTTGTCAACTTCATGGAGAATACTTACAATTAGTTAATTAGTTAATTATTTTTATTTTTATTTTTGGTTCCTTAATTTGGTGTGGAACACTTCACCTCATCTTGTATGATAATTTTTGGTGGGGAATCATTACTATTGGGAATATAATTGCCAAAAGTATTTTGGACAATTGATGTTATTTAGATAAAATAATTTTTATTATTTATTTGGTATTGAGTGAACAAAAAAAATAAAATATATGGGTGTGTTTGTCTTACATTTGATTTTTCCGGTTTGAATTTTTTAATAGTAAAAATATAAAAAAAAAAATGAATAATTATTTAATATGATTTAAATAGATATTTTATATAATATTTTGAATGTAAAATTATTTTTTAATACAATATTGAAAATAAATATTTAATATAATATTTTTTAAAAGAAAAAAAATAAAAAAAATAATAATAAATTGTTACTATTAGAAATCTACAAAAATACACAACTTATAATTTTTATGTTTAGGGCTCAGAATTTATTTTTTATACTTTAGGGTATTCTCTAATTATATCTTAGCCCAAATACTTGCGTAGAGTAGTAACTATTTGGGCCACAAAAGTTGTTGGACTTGGCCCAGTGAGTATTATATTTAATTTGTCCTTACTTTAGTCAGTATAATCTCAAAAGTTTGTTTTTGATGTTACTCTAGAGCTAGAGCTGGCAAAAATTGATTCGACACGATAATCTGACACAAAATAATTGGGTTTAAGTTAAAGATTTGCGAACCTGATACGATAATAAACGAGTCGGGTTAGAGTTGAGACTCTCAACTTGAACCCGACACGACAACTCGATTATAATATATTAATATTGATTAATATATTTATTATATAAGTAAAATAACCATAATTTATTAATTTTCTCATAAATTAATTTAAACTAAGTCCAATTTTAAATAATTTAACCTAATTTACGCTCAAACTAATAAAAACTAACGTAACACGACAACACAACAAAAAATTATTTAATTTGAATCAAGAAATTCAACTTAATTATGTATACGAGTCAACCCGAACCTGACATGATAATAAACGGGTTGGATTAGAGTTGAGTAATTTAACCCGTTTAAAGTATTCAACCCAACACGAATCGACCCATTACCGGTTCTATGCTACTCGAATATAATATTTGTGTTTGTTAGGTTGGACAAAATAAATAAATAAATAACTGAAATCCAAATATAAAAGTAATTAAAAAAATGAAGTATTATAAAACAAATTATTAATATATATAAATATATTTTTTGTTTAAATAGAAATTTTAGAATGCTTTTTAAAACAGTAAAAATTTTAAATATATGACGTAATATTTTATAATATAGTAAAAATATTCTAGGATAAATGGTGTTAGTTTGTAGTTAAACAACTGTAAACTGCCACCGACAAAATAAAGTGCATATTTTCTACGCCATTAATGTCTCTTTCAATGCCTGTCTCTCTCACGGCTTTTAGGGACCAATTTTGGATGTTTAGTGTTATTTTAATCTTTTTCTTTTTTTATAAAAATATTATATCAAGTATTTTTAAAATATAATATAATATTAAATATTAATTTTTATTACTTTTAAAATTTTCAAAGCTTCAAAAAAAACTTTCTGTCTAAATGAACTTATATATATATATACACTGGTGAACTCAATACTAGTATCATAGCATAAATTTGTTTTTGGATATTTTCTAAAAGGCTTCATACTAGTGGAGTTCACTTGGGACTTATAAGTTGTGTAATTTTCTTCGTTATTTTCGATGTGGGATTTGGGTTTGCACCCCAACAATCTAAGTCTCAAACCAAGGACCAACCAATGGACCTTCTTTGCCCAACTTGTACCACCTATTACAAGGGGATCCATTGCCTGACCACCTTAATCGGGACTGAACCAACACCGCCAAGAGACTTTCGACACAAGGCACATCCGCAGATCACGAGGGCGAGCCCACCACCACAACCAATGTCCAATGTCACCCAGTCCACTTCACCATCTAACCGGGCTCTGATACCACTGTAGAGATTGGACCAACTCAACAACACTACTATAATATATTGTCCGCTTTGGGCTGACTCCCTACGAATTTGTTTTTAGATATTTTTTAAAAGGCCTCGTACTAGTAAAATTCACTTAAAATTTAGAAGGTGTGTAATTTTCTTAAATATAAGACTTGGATTTGCACCCATATATATGTCACTGATTTAAATTTGCCGACGTCTTTTCAATTTGATATGTCACATAGGAGTTAGATAGCATAATTTACCTGATTGATATGTTTGCACATTATTGTGCTTCAGAATAAAATATATGAACAAAATATTATTTAGAAATTTAATTATTGAATTATAAAATAGGATGATAAAATTTTAATATCTTAAAGTGAAATATAAAAATATTTTATTTTTTTGTATAGAATTATTTCAAGTATTTTAGTTTGGGGTATTTTTTATTTAAAAAAATAAAGTATCAATAATATACTACAAAATAATATTTTGTACTGCATGTTAAATTTTTTTTAAAAAAATATAAAATACTATATATTATAATTCATGTCGGTAAAAAATATATGTTGGTGAACAAAGCATTTATTAAATTATAAAATAAAAATATTGAAATTAGATGGAGTAGATATAAGTCTATAAATAATTTGGGTTTAGTTATAAAATATATACTATTTTTTAATTGATACTATTATATTTTCTAAATTTTCCTTTCGGTATTATACAATTATCATATTCTAATTTATACATGTATTAGATAAGATCATTTATGATTTTAATTTATAATTTTATAAATAAATAAATACATATTTATATATTGAAATTTTTTATTATTTTTTCTAAATAAATATTTATACATTCAAAACTGATTTATTTTTATAATTTTAATTTATATTAGTGCATGTAGATATTATTCTGTAACACAAAATTTTATTCTTTATATGATTGATTGTAATGTAATAGGGTGAGTAAAGAATTTAGATAAATTAAGTGTATAAATAATTATGATATATTTGTATATACGTGTAATGTTGATTGTTAGAAACTACAAATTGTGTAAGAATATTTTATTAGAAATAAATAATTTTTGTGGAAAAAAAATATATACTTAATTAAAGTGTGTTTGATATAGAAAAATAGGGATACAAAATAAAAGTATTTCTATTTTTTTTATTTATTTGAACAAAAAATCAAAATAAAAAATATATATATCTATTTTTTTTTACTATATTCATTTTCTTTGCAGAAAAATTAAGATAAATGATAAAAATACCATATTATTAACTATTTAATGTTAACAATTTCTTTTGAAAGTATATTATTAAGATCTCGTAATAATTCATTTGAATTACTAAAAATTTTAAAATATTAATTTAATATAATAGTTTTTCTAATGAATTATTACTTTATTAAAACTTTCTTTTATTTTATTCTCAGTTGGTAAATAAGTAATGATGTTATATTTTGAATGTAAATTGAATTTTAATATAATATAGAAGATATAAAATAAATTTTTAATTTGATGTACTATTTTCGTTCGTAAAAAGAGTAACATTTATTTTTTACAAGTATATTTTTAATATTAGTATTATATTAATTTATAGTAAAAAAAGATAAAAATATCCCTGTGCCGAAGGGAGCATTTGATTTGATTTTTGGGACAATTCCTCAAACAAACACATCTTAAGTGTATTTTTTTTTTCAATTTTTTATTTATTTAATTTTTCAATATAATTTTATTATCTCCTACTTTTAAAACACATCCTATCATCTTTAAAAAATATATATCCAAAGATTTTTCACGTCATAAAAAAAAATAATAATAAAATTCCAAAACTGAAACCCACTAAATTTTTATGCATCACACATGTGCTGAATTAACAACAAATAATTAATTAATTAATTAATTAAGGCCTCAACATTTGCATACGGTAACAACTCTGTTTTAATTTAGCACAGATCAACGACCACACTTACACAATTACAAACATTAATTAATTAATTAAATTAATTAATTCAGACATCATCGGTCATAAAAAATATATATATATATATACTTACTATCTGCATCATATATATATATCAGCTAGCGGAATTGGCCGCCCGAGTACGTCTGCCCGAACGACCACCGCGGCGGCGCCACATTGTAAGAAACCACACTCCGGCTGTCGCTGGCGGTGACTCTGAACGACAAACTCTGCCCATTCAGGTAAGAATTGCTCTGCCAATTCTGCCCCCAATTTCTCGACATCGGCTGCCACGCCGTCCTCGACCCTTTAATCGCCACCGCGTGGACGTCGCCGGCGCCGCCGACGTTCGTCACTAAAACCAAATTGAAATACGAGTGGCCGTTGATTGTGAACCTTATCCCTCCCCTTCTACGGCACGGCACCCGGCGGTACGCCACCGGCACGATCCCCGCCCTGTACTGCGCGATCCTCAGAAACACCGGCTGCGACAGGTCGAAGTGGTGGCGCGGCGGGTCGCACCACCCCCCGGGCGGGCAGAAATTCGTCGCCGTCACGATGATCGAGCCGCGCAGACACCATTTCGGATCGTTCACGCACATCAGCTGGAAGCACGCGCCGCAGCTCAGCCCGTTGTTGAACAGCGCCGTGCTCAGCGCCGCCGTGCTCGTGCCGTACCCCTGGCTGTACAGATTGCCATAGCCACAAGCTCCGCCTGCAACAAAAATCAATCAGATTATCAATTAAATAATTAATTAATTGATTGGTTGATTGGCGTCGGAGACGCCATACCCATGGTTCCAGAAGCGTCGCCGCCGCCGTAGAAGGTGGCGTGGGCGCCAATCCAGCCGCCGCCGCCGTAGTATCCATAAGCCGACTTCGCCATGATGAACAGAAATGCAGATACTAAAACGACGCCGTACGTCGTCATTTTGCGATTCCTTCCTGGAGATATGTAAAACACAGACCCCAAATTAAAATTAGGTTTTGCAAAACCCCCAAATTAAAATTGAAGAACGAGAAAGGGAAGAATTGGTTACTGGTAAGTGAAAATCGAAGCACCTGGTGCAAAAGTAGTGACGAATTTAGGTGTGAATAAATAGATCGAGGTAGCTAGGGCTAGTTGTGGGAGTAAAAAATAATGAAAAATGAGAAGAAATGCAGAGAAGGAGCCATTGAAGATGACAGCTGACAAGCTAAGGTATTTCCATACACCTGTTTGCATATGGGGCCATGGAAATTAAAACCTGTTGGGGTGTAGTAATTCTTGAAGCTTTGGAGGAGGAGCAAGCAATGGCAATTATACATCCATACATATATATATATGGGCTCCATGAAAACAGTAGGGATGATCAAGACTACTGGTTACTTTTTGATGGATTCATCTTGATGAAGATGATGCATTAATATATATATATATATATATGCATGGGATTAATTAATTAATTAATTAACTTCCCTAATTTACTTAAACCCAGCTTTCTCAGTGAAAGTAGTTTCTACATAAATACATGTGAGTGAAACACTACTCATTCAGTCAAATTTATTTTCGTATTTTTCGGTCCTCTGTTAAATTTATTCCATTATTAATTTTGACAAAATCAACAAATCGATATTTAATTATTACTATTCTTTTAACAATTATTTACAACAAATATTACTAATTTTATTACATTCTCTCTCTTCAATTACTTTAATTTCTAACTAAATTTTCAAAAATATCTTCAGCTATCTATCACTTTTTCAATAAAATATTCATTTTTCTTAAACTCAGGTATGTTAATTTTAGTGTAACGAGGGAGTATATATATATACTGTATATATACACACATGTGAGTTAGAATATGGCATTGCGAGTGGCACATGGACATGGGGCCATATAATAATATAGACTTTTATATATATGTAGAGACTAGTCGCATTTAAAGCTTGGGACTATCATATATATATATATATATATAAATGAGGAGGGTTGTATTTTAAATATATATTAATTTATTTATCAACAAACATATATATTATAAAAAATAAAATGATATACCTATGTATTTACAAATATATATATTCCCTCCCTTCCATCTATTCATATTATATTGACGTCGGTATAAGGAAACTCAAATTAAATAGTTTTTTAATATAAAATTAAAAATTGTGTTTGAATATTTTGAGAATTTTATTAAAATTATATTTAATTAATGGTGCATGTGTGATTCAGATTGGTGATATTGTTCTTTATAATGTAAATATAAATTTAGCGGACATATATAATTAAATAAAAAATAAAATATATAACCTATACAACAACACAAAACAATATATTATGAACAATAATTCAATAAATATATACTCCCATTTAACAACTACACTTATATTATATTAATTATATTATTTAATTACATAAATTATAATTATTAACTTTTAAGGTATAAGTATGGTGTTTAATTTAAATTCATTCGTCTGTGTATATATATATCACATGGGCAGATAAACCTTAAGTTGACTGGTGGCACGTGTCATCAATGATTTTGGCGTACAAAAATAATTTTTCTATCATTAAAATATTTTAATGCCACTATTATTCAATCATTTAAAAAATATAGTGTTTATTTAAAATTTAAAATGTCATTATTATCCAATTAATTAAGGTTAATTCAATTAAAATGATTAATTTATATTTTAAAAATATTAATATACAAAAATAATGTTATAATATTATTTATTCTATATTATTAATAATTATTTATTATTTACTAATATTAATATATATTTCTATTTTAAAATTTTGTATATTTTATTTAAATATTATGCCACCAATAAAAAAATTATAAATCAATCTCCGGATATACGTGGTATTGATGTATATTGATTATATTTTGAATATATATATACCTACTTTTGACAACATGTGTTCGATGGCATGCATATATAGGATCAACTTCATGCATGATTTTCTTTCGTTTGCATTTAAGACATAGAGCCCTCATCATTTAAGGTTCTAGAAATTTTTAAATTAAACTTGCAATATACATAGATATATATATATATATATATTTAAACACACATTCAATTTTTTTGAAACTACCCGGGCTTGGGCTTGGGCTTGTGGCAATTAAACTTTCGATATACTTCCTCCGTCCCATAACAAAGTATCAATTTTTTTTATTTTAGTTCGTTTCATAACAAAGTATCTATTGTTTTTTTAGTAACTGTACTATCTACCTAACATCACAAATACCCTTACAACTTACAATATATTACACAAATGTCATTACCTTTATATCACATACACTGATAAGGTTATTTTAGTCATTTCTACTTTATTCCTACTACATTTCAATATAATATTAATATTTCTAAATCTACGTGCAAAAACCAAATAGATACCTACTTATGAGAAGGAGGAAATATTTTTAATTCATGTGTGTGTATATTCAACCCATTCTTGGGAACTATTTTGATTTCGTCTCGGGACGCATCAATCCTCGAGGGGGACTCAATTGGAAACCTTGCCCATGGGCTTTTATGTATGATATGGTTGTGACATTAAAATTAGCAGTTACAAGTAGAAAATTTAAAACTTACTATTATTATTTGAATATTTTGAAGAGTTAGATAAGAGATGGACCATGATAATTTAAAAGGGACACCAACCAGAGGAGACAAATAAGATCACTATAACATGCCATAGATTTTGGTGTCCACTCCACAGTTCCTCCCACAATGCACACCATTATATTATATACTAAATTAATTAATTAATTAATTTATAAATAATAATATATATATATATATATATGCTTCAATATTTGCTACAAATCCATTATATTTGTGTAATTGTTTATGTATCTTCCAAACAAATTATTCTGCACACTATTAATTTCTTGGTGTCAATTTTCAACACTCTATCGAGTATCAACCAACTTTTGGGGAAAGAATATAATGGTTTCTTTATATTTAGTTGATTGTGGACCCAATTAGTAGGGCTGCTAAAAATTAATCCGATTTGATAGCCTGATTCGAACCTGACCTGAAATAGTTGGGTTTGTGTTGAGATTTTCGACTAAATTAATTAATAGGTCAGGTTAAAGTCTATATTTTTGACCTGAAAATAACCCGTCTAACCTTTTTAATTAATAGTATTTTAAATTTAAATATATTTTTTAAATTTTATCAATACAATTCAATATTTATGGCCAATTTTATAAAAATAAACAATAAATAATTTTTTGCTTTAATATATATATATTATGCATTTAAAATTTTGTTAATATAAATTTTAATTTTAAATTAAAATTTAAAATTTTTAGATTAAACGGGTTATACGAATTATATTCAAGTTGACCCGATTAATAAAAGATCAGGTTAAAGTTAAAAATATCAACTCATTTAATTAAATGTGTCAGGTTCAGGTCAAGACTTTTGTAACCCGTTTAAGCTGACCCGAACCCGACCTGATCTGTTTGCCAGCCCTACCAATTAGTGATGAAGACAAATTAATATATCTCATAAAGAAAACCCTTAGGGTGTGTTTGTTCGGGGTTTTGGATTTTAAGTTGAGATTTGAATAGTAAAAGTTTTGAATTTGAATAGTTGTATGATGTGATATAAATACGTGTTGATGTGATATTTTGAATGTAAAATTGATTTTTAAGTATAATATAAAAAATAAAAAATAGATGTTTGATTTGATATTTTTGAAGAAAAAAAATTGAATAAATAGTAAAAATTAAATCCAATTTCCCAAACAAACACACCCTAAAAAGAACCTTTTTCTATCAATTCTTGATTATAGTATTTAATTAGTGTGACAAAAACTGTCCGTAACGCGCTATTTGTGGGTCTTCATAGCACAAGACAAGACAAGACAAGACCTACAATGGAACTTCTAACACTCTGCCACTATCCACACTCACTTTTCATATCACTTTTTTTTTTTTCTTTTTTTTTTTTCTTTTTTTTAGAGAGTTTTTTTTTATAGGAATGGTTCTTATTTTTTATTTTCGTCTATCTTAAAATAAGAGTATTATTTTTTAATTTAGTAATTGTACTATCTACCTAATTAATAAATACTATTCTAACTTACTACATACTCCCTCCGTCCGTTTATAATTGTTCTAAAGTATATTTACACGGTTTTTTTTTTATATAATTGTCTTTTTGGTATGAATTGAAAATTTTATCCTTTTATGCTAAGGTAGAGATTAAAAATGATAAATAAATGAATGGTAAAAAAATAAAATTAGTGTTTAAAAAAGAAAATAAGACAATAGTTATTTGACGTCCCGAATAGGAATATAGAATATTAGTTTGTGGACGAAAGGAGTATTACACAAATATTATTTCGTCTTTTTTATAATAACTCAATATAATAATAATATTAAAAAATTTACTTACAAAAAATAAACGTTACTCTTTATATAGGACATAGGGAGTATTTCACTTTTTGTATCAAGTAAAAAAATTGTGGTATTTGTTTGATTTAAATTTAAAATTGATTTTTTTAATTTAAATACTATTTTAATACAATGTTTTATAAGATAAAATAATATATTTTATTAATTCGTGCTACCTGAATAAAGTATAATTTTATATTTGAAATGCAAATTTTATTTTCTTTTACATAATATTAAATTAAATATTATTTAAATAAAAAAATTCAAATTCAATCTAGATTTAAAATTAAGAAACACACTATTGTGTTACTATATTTACTTTTGACAGGATCTTTTTAGGTGGTATAGATTTGATGGTTTATTGTTCTCATTATTATTTTATCCCTATTTTTTATTTGAAATAATTTTATAAATTGTATTAAAAATGATAGAAAATTCGAGCATACACAGAAAAAAATTACAAATATCATGTGACATTACAAATTAGAAATAATAGCAAATATTCAGTCTGTTTCACTAAGCGTTGATTTTAGATTAATTAATTTTTTGTTTGTGGTATGTGGAACTGTGTTTGTAATATAAAAATAATATTTTATGTTATATGATTGAGTTTTTATGAGTGGATAATAAATATATTATATTAATGTGTGTGTATATTTGTATTTTTTTAAAATAATATTTATAAATAATTGTTTTATTGAAAAATTTGAATAATCAAATTAATTGTAGTGGACCTAGTGTGTATATATGTATGTGTAGGTGGACCTTTGTGTTTGCATGAGTTATCATTTCAAGGTAAGTAACAAGATATGTAGGTTGGGCAATTCCACAAATTACAAGAAATTTTAAATTAATT